ATTCCACTGCGGTTGCACGCAAGTAATGGTTAATGGTTGAACGCCTCAGAGGCTGAGGGAAGTCAACTGACATCCCACAAAACATTCGCCAACATCCAATTTGCATTTTACCAGCCTACGACTAATCCCTCTGGCCCTTTAATAACAAATGTTAAATTTCTAAGAGTTATTTCAACTTAAATTGTTACACCGAGAATTTTTAAAATACCACCGCATCGGAATATTTCTTACGAAACTTTCTCTCCATCAGAGGGTGTTTAAAAACAGCACGATTCTAATGCGGTGTTTAAAAGAACGTCGGATCACGTTATTATTAATTAAAAATTTCAACTCGAAAAGTTGTTTCTTTAGGACAATTTGTTTAAGGACCGTGGGGAGTCATTTTGTAATTAATTAGCTAAGAATTTTTTACCACCTAACAAATATTTATTTCTAATTGCACCCGACCTTTAATATCTTTAAAACTCGGAACCAGTTACTTTAACAAATTGCCAATCCATATAAACACACTCGAGACTCCAGCCGCTGAGAAAATGCATGCCGCTGCAATCCGTGCACGAAACCACAAAGTTTTTGCCCATAACGTCGTACCAAATCTGCACCCTTAACCCTCCCAGTTCTGAGGTAAACGATACAATTTTATATAAACCGCTCGAGCTGAAAGCGGACTCGTTTTTGCGTGTGACGTCACAGCGTTGTTATTTCATGGATTTTTCGATCGTCACGTCCCGTGTAAATTAACAACGTGGTAAGTTTTAATCAGGTGAGTATCAAGAGGTTCTCGGGGCGATTAATACCGTAATAAAATGCATCGATGCCTGATGTGATAAACTACGGCTGGTAGATCTGCCGCTAAAACCATTGGGTTATGCATAATGAAACGTTAATATGTCAGGTATTTCCCCGGGCACTTTATATTATCTAATTATTACATACATGGTATTGTATGGATCTTGAACAATGAAATGCGTGGTCAAATGGCTGGCTTAATTTAACAAAGCAAGTGTTATCGGTAATTTTTGAGTGTGCTCATCGAGTGAGATCTGTGTCGTGATTTTTTGGGCAATTTAGGGTGATTTATGGCCTTTAATATCAAGAATTAGAGATCTATTAAAGCAGAAGTAAGTATTGACTTGAATGTGGGTTTGTCACAAAGGTTGGACTCGCCACTACGTCACAAGCTCTAATTGTATAATTGCGAAGTGTCAAATTTAAACGAAACGACAACTGTTGAATAGAATGTGACTGGACGTATCGGCGTCATAAATTTTGTCTGCTCGGTGAAATAAACACAAAAAAGAGAACTTCGAATATAAGTTGAAAGGCGCACGCAACTGTTATATATGTAAATTTAAGGCCAATAAAGATAAGTTTAACGCAGAGATTTCCATCGTTAATTTTTAGTATTAGTTGCTTGGTAAAAAGGTTAAAAATTGGATAGTTGTTGTAAAGCGTGTCTAAACCCGCAAGCGTCGGGTCACCATATTGTAGAATATGAGCAACGACGAAGATTAATGTGTGGAATTTTGGAAGCGAAAATTCTCTCCAACTAATGTATTTAGTAATCTGGGCGAAAATCTCGTTGTTAAGATTATCGCGTTAATCGACGGGGTGCCCAGTTTTTAGAAAATACTCGTAAAAAATACGATGGAAAATTATGACTGGATGAATTAGCTTTCTTGTGAAACTATTAACAATACTGCAAGATGCGATGCACCTCAAGAGATCTTAGATCATTTCTCGGTGCGATGTAACGTGATTCAAGTTAACCTGAGTGCGCTTGTTAGTTCCGTGTTTATTCAGTATTTAGCGACAATTCTATAATCCATTCAGTGGAAATCTCGCGCATACGGATTCTCCGAGGGATTCACAAGTGAGGAGCAATATTAAAGGATTTCTAACATGTCGAGTCGGATGACGCTTCCCGCAGACTAAGCAGTCATTATAAATGAGCCTCAGGGTGCGGAAAAGTGTCCATTAATCGAAGACTTTGTTTGCTTCGTGTTTTATCTTTGAGTCTGCCTCTACCTGGAGCTAACTAATGACAAGAGTAACATAATCTGTCGTTTCCGCAACACAAAGCATCATAATACGTCAGTCGTACCCGTAAATGTTGCAATTTGGCGTTTCTATAATCGAGCGTTGTCATTTAACGCCGAACAAGAGACCTCGACAAAAATCTTCATCTAATTTTTCCTCCTCATACATATTTCATGTTGAAGCATTTACAAAATCATTAATCAAGTTATCTGTTGTTAAAAGACTTTTTTGAATGAAATCAAAAAAGCCCCCCCACATTAAACACAATTCATTTTTTGCCGCCCTAAACGAAGTATTGATTTTAAAATTAATTTTGAAACATCCGTAATTAGGTTAAAATCAGCCGAAAGTTTTCCATCCATTTTGTTACGAGCAGAGGGGCCTCTAACGTTGTTTTGGAATTTCGCATTACCAGCCAAAGTAATGTAACCAATAAAACTAGAGAAATAAATAAAACGCGCCTAAAACGGAGCGAACCGCTACCCTGCAACCCTGACATGTAATATACTTTAATATACTCTTCACATCGCTTACTTTCAATTTGTATCTCAAACACGCGAATTATATTATTCCGTTACAGTTCTAATTGTAATTAAGTATTAACGAGTCGCAAAGTGCCCCCTCTTCTACTAAAAGAGCAAAAAATTAAAATTAAAGAGACAAATAATGTCGCGGCTTTCGCAGAAAATTAAAGAATTAAAAAGTAATAACCGTTACAATAGCCGAACCCGTAAAACCGGTCTGACGAGTATCGTAGTGGGGGTACACTTTCTACTCAGGTATATAAGTGAAACGACACAAAGCACGACCAGACGAGATATTGTGTGTCACAACAGAATCGCCGTATTATAAAAATCAGACTGTAGAGGATAATATGATCGACTGTATCTACGTCCTCTTCTTCGTCGTTTTATGGCCATCGAAAGAGAGGTTCTTTGGCTCTTTGCCAGTAGCCCACCGAACCAGTAAATATTATATCCGTCCAGAATTAGAAATGGTGCATCCGACGGCGAACATGGCTGACGTTCGCGCTCCTTCACTAAGTCCGCGCTGACACATTTTAAACGAATTATTTCGCAGCTAAGCTTACGTATTTCGGCAGATTAAAAAATAACGGCCTTTCTCTGAATTTTAACAAGGCACGGACGTGATTAAAAATGTTACGGTTTAATCGCGTTCTATTATTTTGATGATGCATGTGTGAAAGGTGGTTATTTGTGCACAATTAATGGCGCAGTCGGTAGGACCACAACAAACGTAATGTGAAAAATACAAGCCGCGCTTGTCCACAACAAACCAAATTATGATGGGATTGATATTTTATCAAAATTTTGTTTCGCAAAAAAAGAAACTCATTACGTAGTCGAATCTAAAACGTAACTAAAATTCTTAACGTTGTTCCAGATCTACAAACCTCGCAGAAATAAATTTTAATAAAATTACAGTTTGCAACAAAATCGAAGTTTCGCAAGTGATTCGTACTCCCATATCAATAAAGTAAAATCTTAATATGTATTTTACCTTCAAGTTTTGATGTATTTTTAAGGGTAGTAGTCACGAATATTTATTGCTTTTTTCATGACTATATAAAAATCTATTCCTTGTCGTAAAAATATATTCGCTGTACTAAAAAGTGGACTACGGGTTTTGACTAGCAATTTTAATCCTCTTTTAAAGCTTAATGCCGCTTTTATTACAATTTTTACTTGTGCCAAAACAGAGTAATTAAACCTGAATGATTAAACCGGATACAATAACTAAATATAAAAGACAACGAGAAAACCAAATGTCAAAAATATAACAACACACTAAAACAACTTACGTAAACTCTCCGTTTTCGATATAAATTATTTATTTTATTCCTCTTGATTTTCTGTTTTATGTAAATATGAAATTTTACGATGCTATTAAATTTTTTAGAGCTCCTTGGAGGAGCGTAATTATAAACAATAATGTCGACCTATATCAAGATTTCGTTAATGTAATATACATGTTTGAGCGACCTTTACTCTTGGATAGGTGGAAATTTCACTGATTCTCGTTTTTCTCCACATACATGTGTCATGCGTTCTTATTCCACCCTTCGTCGCTGAACTTCATACTTCAGTAGCGCAGCGCCGAGATGCTATGGGAAAAACCAGACTCTCATTCGTAAAACTCGGAAATTGTGAGAGGAATAACAAGAGGGAAAGAATGAGAGCGTAGTCATGCTTTAGTAAGTCTATTCGTTGTCAGTGTTTATGCAACTAAGCTTCCTATATCGTCCATCTCTGTCGCACTTTCCACCTCCACACGAACGGGCTAAATTATGGCGTCGCGACGCGCGTTCGCGAAAGCATCGCGCCATCGACACGCCACTTCGAGGGCCCTAAAATCGTGACTCGGACAGCGCGAGGGAGCGAGATGGCTTAATCATATTTTAGTATTACAAAACTGAGGCGATGGTACAGGCAGTTAGGATTTGAGTCCGCTACATTTTGTTGTGTTGGTTGTAAAACGAAGGAAGCGCGTCTGCTGCGTTTTTACTTTCGTCGAGTGATTTTTAATTAGTCTTTTAGCGATTGTTTAAAAGTAGCGAGTGCAGCTCGATGTTCGGGTCGAGTTGAGTTAAAAGGGGCGTTTTGTACAAATGCTGGCAGCCCCGCCCTGTGCATTGGCTATCATTGAGAGTCAATTCAGTTAATGCTTGGCAGTAACACAAATAAGAGTTTCCGGAAATTGCAAAATTGAGTTACGTAAGATGGTGGAGCGTGTCGGGGAGGATTTAATTAAAAACAAAATCAAAAATTAATCAGCGTTCTGATGGGCTAGGGTGAAATAAAATTTGTTTTTATTTGCCGTTGGAAAGTTTGCCGGAATCAGTGGGTTTCAGTGTCTGCGTTATTTAAGTTGAAATAATGCAGTAGGTAAAATTCGCATAATTTGCGGATTAGGGGTTGAAATATGCAAAAATAACTCACCTAATTCCGGGCCACAAACTCTTGGAATAATTTCGAGAATGGCTGAACAGGAGGCGTCATCGAAGCAGAGTTGGCGCGCAACTAGACAGTTTAAAGTGGCGCCCCCATTTTTTATGTTTGGACCTGAAACAAGCATTAGAAATGTATAAATTTCGAGAGGGTTCATTGATAAGCAGTTTGGGGGTGGTTCGTTATTTCCAAATGACGATGTCGACGTCGAGTCTAATGATCCGTTAACTATAGAGCGGCTTAACTTCCAACTTGCTCAACATTTTCATAATTCCTATTTACATCACTTTATGCGCTTTATGACGTCTTTTTACCCAAACAAATTCGCTATACGTTGCGGCCGATTTTGACGCGTGACACGAACTAGAAAACTCAATTACAGCGCATATTTATAATCGAATACTCTAGACTGCGTCACCCTTTTTGTCGACTACAACTCTTCGTCTTCTTTTTAAATAAATCATTATCACTCAGATTACAAAACTTTCCGGATCGATCCGCGCCCGCAAACACTCCCTCTCCGGTTCCAAATCCTTCCGACTAGCAAATATGTACAAAGGATGTACCGACTATTTCAATGGTTTTAGACCTGGTCAGCTTTCATACGCGGTTATTGCAGAGGGCAGAGTATGAAATAGCCTCAGGAACTGCCGCTGCTGCACCAAGACCACATCATACGCCGAAGCTGCGAACACTAGAGCAAACCACCTCAAAACTGCCACTAAATTAATTAACAACTCTAATTTCAACCACTCATTTAAACATTTGTTCTGTTTCATCCAGAACAAACCGACCGCAGCCTAAACGATGAATAAGTTATCGGCGCCTTAACCGGAAATGACAAATTTCATAGCTAAATGCTTTCTACGAAAGCGCAATAAAAGCGCAAACGTAATATTTAATAAACCCACAGCGGGTCGTCACACATTCTTCACTCATGTAATAGACGTGCCCATTCCTTATTACGATATCACGACAAATGGCGCAGTCGGTAGGATCATCGTGCTTAGTGTCATACTTTGATTAACATTCCGCGTATCCGAGGCAGCCAGCCATTTATGCGGGAATTGGCTCGAGTATTTCGCCTCGAGTTGTTTACAAATAATATTAAAAATATGGTTCATGATTCGACGCATAAATTAAGTAATTAAGAAATTGGAGTGTAAATAAATTTCAAATGGAAATTTGTATGTAAGTTGAGAAAAAACAGAGGGAAGTTCATTTTTATTACCCACTTCTTTGAGATTCAAATTGCTCGAAGCTATTCTTTGAAGAAAAGGAGGTCTACGCGGAAAAGAAAAGTTGACTGTGAGAAGAGAAAGACTTAGACAATAATGTCACCTGCTGATGGATCTGAACAATTGCATAATACAAAATCTCTTACGAGATACTGAAATAATGCAAGTTTTTCTCGAGCGTCTTATGCGAACTTTGCAGTCGGAGGAATAAAGTTTCTCCGCGGGAACGGCGGTTAAAATTTAAAATATACCCCACACCTAGGCCTTTGATCATTTTAAAACTCATATATCTATTTCAAGTCGGTTTTTTGCTCAAGGCCCGACGTACAAATGTAATTCCAAATGCCTGGATCGTCTTGTTACAAGGAATGTTTCATTTTTATACCGGCTTAACTGTAGAGTGCTGTTACGCATTTGAAAATACTATAAATCTCATAGTTCCTGACTTACCAACTTTATATTTCTTCTGAGCGCTGTAATTTATTTTTATATCGGCTGATAGCTTCGATTTTCCCTTTATGATGATGTATGACACTTTCATAACATTTTTAAAGTAACTGTCTTCTGGAACAACACCAGATTCCGAAACATACTAATTTCCCTTTTACCTTCCAAACCGGAAAAAATAACAACAAAGCCACAACGAAGGCCAATTTACATCAAGTAACGTTTGTTCAACTTGTGCAAACATTAATTAATGCATACTTACAACATTGGTTATATTATTCTTCCTCAAATCAGAAAAACACAGGCGTTCCTTAAAAATTTATGGCAAGCGGGTTTTGAGGTAATGTGCTCTACTTCGCCCGAAGACAAATCTAATTCGATTTGTCAGGACCAATGTACAAAGTTGCTGATTTATGCTCGTTATTTCTTCTAAGTTACAAATACTGATAAAATTGGACTTATAATAGTTACGTCCGTGTTATACACGCCAAATCCTGGAGCCGCTCACATCCAAGATGGCCGAATTGAATTTTTATCTTGACTATCACAAATAGTCAGTGATAAATCGTACGACCTAAACGGAGTAGCGAGCTTCGTTCCCACCCAGTAGCGGCTCGCCGTGTTCGATACATTGTGCTATAGGAATTATATAACGCTCATTTAAGTGTCTATAGTAAACAACGCCATAATCGATATATTTGTGTATATTTTGGGAGTGGTTCGAAGCGGCTCGCTTTCATGCACGCCATACAGCTATATCCAGATATCTCCCCAGAGCAGTTAACTGTAACGGCAATGGTCTATCTGGACCACTAAAAATGACAGCATTTCATCCGTCATTCCTGGAGAACTGTAAAATAATAATTGTACTCTCAGACGTTCCGAAACCATGAGTAGGTTCTCGGTTCGTGTGAGACAGAGACGGAAGATCGTGTTTTACTACGTACCAATAGGTCGAACGCCAAGCTCCTTTTTTATTCTTCATTTAGAGTCCGTATTTGTTAGAAGTAAGGAATAAGGAGTCTGCACTTCACAACCTATATAGTGAAATAATGAGTCGTTTTATATTAAGTTAATGGGTCGCAATCTTGACGACTAGGGGTGCTATCAGTATCTAGTAACACATTTATTACTTCCGAAGGTTTTTTATTGGGCTATTACTTGGCAGAGCAAGTTTAGTAGTCTGGTTTATTCAGATGTACGTTTTATTATCAGAAGAGACTGCTGGATCCACTTAAAATAACTGTCAGCTTTAAAATTTATTTGTTACATCTGTGATATATAAATATATCATGCGGAGGAGCAATATTTCAAATATGGCGCAAACCCGGTTACCTAACTTGGTTAACGATCATATATCTAATCGTGTTTTGATGTTAGTTTAATTGTTGTGTTCGACCTACGTTTGGCGAAGGGGTTTGGTTGTCAGTGTTGCACAGCGAGTAGAACACCCATTAAAATATGCATTATTTACGTAGAGGTCGGCAGAGTGTGGTGCGGTATTTGTTGAGTTAAATTTGAGGTTAATTAAAGTAAAACTTGCGGCGAAGTGGTGCGGCTTATTTATAATCGCATTGTGCAAATGCAGACCACTTAAAAGTGACTCGACGAAGTCGGCGGTTAAGAAGCGAAGCGCGAAACTGTGAAAAGGAGACGAAACCGGTAGACGAAAGTCACTAATAATTATCGGATGTCTCACCCTCATTAATCATAAGTCGCAGGCATCCGGGTGCAGCATCGCGATGTTTAGCCTCTGATTCTGAATAATTGCTTTATGTTCCGTGAAATTGATTGTGATCCCGTAAGCGGCCGAATCATCGAATGGGTGAAAAAACACGACTAGATTGGATGGTCGATGGGTAATTGGGGGTGCAAGAGAGAGTTGAGGGATGAGTTATCCCCTTCATAATGACAGGAAGCGAGTCGACTTGGATCAAGAGAAGTCGGGGGCCACGGGCGGTAATCTAACGGCCATTTAGACGGTCTCCTTATCATGGCATGTGGCCTCGTTCATCATGTTCTAAGGCACGTTCTGCGATGCGAGGCCGCGTGGCTGGGACTGACGTCGCACCGGGAAGCTAAAATGCCCCGCAGACACTTTATTTCATCCACCGCCCAAAAGAGCGGAGGCACACAACATCCGCTCCATGCCACCACCGAGGGCCATGCAAATTTTTCTAATTGATTATCATTTTACCTGTCAAAAGTATACCCCGCAGGGACAACGCTCCCACTTCCACAGTTTCCATTCACCCAAGTATACCAAGAGAACGCCCAAACTCACCACGCACTACAAAAAGGTTAGTTTGTGCAACCCCGAGTTTTGAGGCAAGGCGGACAATTCTGACTCCAACTGCAACTCTATTTCGTCTATGGTTTCTTTGGTTGTGAGTTTGGCCTTCAGTATTCGTTGAAAGCGACGTCGTTTTTCTGGATGACGTCACGCTAGATGCGGACGGGTGTGAAATGGGTTAAAGGATGAACCGGGAAGTTGTGTTGATTGCTGTAAACGAGCGTGTGAATGATTATTTACCCGTCCCTGTGTGGCTGCAGTAATTGTATTTCTGCGACCGCAGGGATGCAGACGAATCGCAGCTTCGGCGTCCGCGTGCGGGCAAATAAAATTTTTCATTGCTAATCGCATAAAAAATCTATCTTGTTTACATAAAGTAGGGACCATACGTTTGTGGCGTTATTGGCCCTTCGACCCTCACGCGGTGCGGTTTGAATTTTTCCGTGGCGGTAATCCTATCTGTCGGGTAGATCGTTTAAGCTCCAGAAGTTATTGGGTATCAATTTATAACTGCGGTGATTGCGGCAAATTGCGGAATGAAGTCAAAAAATTGCTTGATTAAAAATTTGCCGGTCGGGTCGCGCACGTTTAGCCTCTGGTGTTCGTCGCGCTGCCGCGACCTGAGCTGATTTATTCGTTCCTTTAGTAATACAAAATCGATTATCAGGTACACACAGCACTAACGACTGACGGAACTGATAGAACCATCGACAAAAGGCGCTTGTGTTGTATCGAAACGATTCCAGAAACGTGCTTCCGTGATTTACGGCCGGCGATGATGGAGCCAAGCGGCCAGTCCGGCAAGGCCGAGTAATGGCCCGCACGTTTTCCCTACGTGCCCACGTGACTCCATCTAGCCCTCACCAGGCTCCGGTTCTTGGGGGGCTCACGAGCCGTGGCCAAACAGCAATCTGCGCTAACTGCGTTAGTCGAGTTATAGTGCTCCGGTGTTGTACTCGCTTTGTCTATATAATTAACCTTATTTGTCGGTAATGATCTAAAATACGTCTTCTCCGGCTCGACGAGCCGCCGGACGGCAAATTTTTTGTCCGACCGTACCTGCCTGTACGGTTCATTAACAACCCTAATAAAGTTAGCCTTTTGTTCGGATTTCTCTCGAGTACCGAAGGGAGATT